TGTTCCGTGGGAGAAAGATGAGGCTTTCTGCTCCCGTAAAGATTTACAGCCTCGGAAACCCTGTACAGGGTTGCTATGAGTCAGAACTGACTCCACGGCATATAACAACAACCACCACCTCTGTAGCCTTTAACATTTGCGCTCCTTCCTGTGTCTTCCCCTGCCTCCATTAGTTTTTACTGATTTCCCTCTTATTTTTTATCGTCTTCCCCTTCACCCAAGTTAACATGTATGTAGCACTGTGAGTTAATGTGCTGGACTGCAAAGTCGTTTGAACTGCAAGGTTGGTGGTTCAGACTCACCAGTCGCTCATCAGAAATCCTATACAGGGTCACTAAGGGTCGGAACTGACTAGACGACACATAAGAACAACAACAACCCTCTAGCCAATAATTTACCCTCGCCTCCCAATCCTTGTAACCACTAAAGAATGTTATTTCTGTGCATACATGTATTCTTAATATTTTACAACATTAATCTCATACAATATTTATCCTTTTGTGATTGAGTAATTTCACTGAGTTTAATGCCTTTTAGGTACTTCCATTTTATGAAATGCTTTACAAATTCACGGTTATTTTTTAATGGTGTATAATATTCCACTGTGTGCATTCACCATAGTTTGTTTATCCATTCTTCCATTGGTGGACATTTAGGTCTTGTCAATCTTTTTGTTACTACTGATAGTGTCATGATGAACACTGGTTTGCGGATATCTATTTGTGTAGAAGCTCTTCTTTTTCTAGGATATCTACTAAGTAGAGGGATTGTGGATTCATAGAGCATTTCTATTTCCAACCTTTTAAGGAACTGTCATATTGTTTTCCACAGCGGTTGAATCATTGAACAATCACATCAGTAGGGTTCCAGTCTCTCCACACTCTCACCAGCACTTGGTTATATTTTAACATTGCTATTAATGCTGGTGGTGCTGAGAGTCAGGCTGCTAGCTGCAAGGACAGTGGTTCAACCCCATCAACCACTCTGAGGGAGAAAGATGCGGCTGCCTGCTCCTGTAAAGATCTGCAGTCTCAGAAACCCTATACAGGGTCATGATGAGCTGGAACCCACTCAGTGTCAGTAGGTTTGATTTGTTTTGTTTTGTTTTTTAAAATTAATGCTCTGGTGAGATGATATGACATTGTTTTGATTTGCATCTCTCAGTTTTGAACTGAAAGGCTGATGGTTCAAGCTCACCAGCCACTCCTTGGGAACCCTATACAAGGGTCGCTTTGAGTCAGAACCAACTCTACGGCACTTAACAACAACAACAGTAGAGTCCTGGTGTGACAATGTAGGATACGCACTGGACTGCTAACCACAGGTCAGTGGTTCAAACCCAGATACCCTATATAGAGTCACTATTAAGTCAAAACTGACTTGATAACATTTAACAACAACAACAATGGCTCACGATAGTGAGTATTTCTTCTTCATATGTTTGTTGGCCATCTGAGTATCTTCTTTTGTGAAGTGTCTGTTTATGTCCTTTGCCCATTTTAAAATTAGATTTTTTGTTTTTTTCTTGTTGAGGTGTTGAAGTTTTCTATAAATTTTAGAGGCTAGTCCGTTGTCTGATATGTCATTGCCAAATAGTTTTTCCCATTCTGTGGATTCTCTGTTTACTCTTTTGGTGACATATTTTGATGTACATAGAATCTAATTTCTAGGAGATTCCAATCATCTAGTTTGTCTTCTGGTATCTGTGTGTTTCCAGTTATGTTTGATATTTTATATAACTGTAGTACATCGTGGTATTGTTGTCAAGGGCTGTTGAGTCGGTTTCAACTCATAGCGACCCTGTATAGGGTTTCCAAGGAGCGGCTGGTGAGTTTGAACTTCCGCCTTTGCAGTTCAAGCCAACCTTGCAGTCTAGTGCATTGTCCCACAGGTCCAGTGCATGGTGATAGCACAAAGCAAATTGACTTTCAGTTGGTTTTTTCTTTTGTCTCTATTTTCTCTTCTGAAAATGCTTTCTTTTTAGCTCCTTCAAGGGGATCACTTCATTGGCTCCTTCCTCCCCTTGCGTAATCTTACACCCAACTGGAACTAAAGCCGAAAAGACGCCCTTCTAACTATCAAAATGGAATCTAAATGCTTACACTCTAGTGTGGTCCATTCTAAAGCCCAGCCCAAAGTGCTTTTCCCTCTTCTGAGCAACCACAACAAGGCCAGTGTTTCCCACAAGTTTCGGAAGAGGAAGCATTAATATGGTGATGAGAGGTTGAAATGAAGACAAGATTCCCAGAAAAATAATTTCATGAAATATTGGTAAAGACAGAGTTCTCTTTAAAACCTCCAGGTCTCCTTGAGGTCCTAGCCTATTAAAATGTGCTTTACCCTGCTAATATTCTCTGAGTTTCCAAAGTTGTGTTATTTGACCTTGTTGCCAAACTCATTTCCTTTTGAACATCAATCTATGTTCTTTATGAAGCAATGCCCTCTAGTTTTACAATGTTGTTGTTGTTATGTGCTGTGGAATCAGTTCCGACTCATAGCGACCCTGTATGGGGTTTCCGAGGCTGTAAATCTTTATGGGAGTAGAAAGCTTCATCTTTCTCTGGCAGAACAGCTGGTGGTTTCAAACTGCTGACCGTGAGATTTAACAGCCCCATTCTTAACCACTACACTGCCAGAGCTTTACACTAGTATCATCAATTCTAATGTGGAAAGTGGTATTCCTCAGCCAATTCTCCTGTTTACTGTTGGATAAACTGAGCCCCAAAATGAGAGTAAGGGTCAAGGTTTCACAGCTAACTACTGACAAATGTGGCATCGAAACACCAAAGTTGCTGGATACCAAACTTTGTAAATTTTTATATGACAACAAATTGTACTGAATTGAGCTTTCATGTATGAATGTTGTACATAGAATTCCCTTACCCCAAAGTAGTTGGGAAGCTCTTTGAAGTCAGAATCTAGGGTTTTGTTATCCTAGCTTTGTTTCTCTAATAATGTGGCACTTGGCAAATACGCGGTACGTGATGGCAAATGTTTTTTGGCAATGGTTAAGATGTTCACAATCAGTACAGGTCCAAAAGAAGTACAAAATAAATACAAACTTTTTCTGTTCCATTTTTCTTTTTGTTTTTGACCAACTAGGGTCTCCTGGAACCTCAATTGTGAATTTAACTTGTACCACAAACACTGTAATAGATAAGTATACACTCTTAAGACCATACCAAGTTTCTCTTCATTGTACCTGGCTTGTGGGCCAGGAGGCTCCTGAGGACACACAGTATTTCTTCTACTATAGGTTGGTACCTATTTTCACTATTGCAAATGGTTGTGTCATCTAGCCATATAAAACTTATGAGTGCTCCAATTTAGGTATGGCCCTTGGACTGAGGAATGCCAAGAATACAGCAAAGACACACTGAAGAGGAATATTGCATGCTGGTTTCCAAGGACTGTTATCAACAGCAAAGGGAGAGACAGACTTGCAGTATATATTAATGGCTCAAGCAGGCATGCTATCATCAAGCCATATGATCAATTGTTTGATCTTCATGCCATTGGTAAGATAAATTCATGTTACCAAAAGTTGAAATAACTGACACATAGAATCTCCACATCGGAAGGGGCGATAACAATCACCTAGAGGCCATCTAGCTCAAGATGGTGTCCACTTTCTTAATTTTCACTCAAACAAATCCAAGCCAGTTGCCTTCTTGGTCACCTCCAATTCTAGCGACCTCAAGTGCTGCACAGCAGAAGTGCACTCCCTAGGGTTTTCATTGCTGAACTCTGGTAATGTACTGGTTACGAATCGGACTGCGAACCGCAAGATCAGCAGTTCGAAACTACCAGCTGCTCCACAGGAGAAAGATGAGGCATTCTGCTCCCGTAAAGATTAACAGCCTCAGAAACCCTGTGCAGGGTCGCTAAGAGTCGGAACCGACTCCATGGCACATAACAACAACAACAATCCTTTGGAAGCAGAATGTCAGAATGTCTTCTGAGCTGCCTCTAGTGTGTGTGAACTTCCAGTCTTTTGGTTAGAAGGCATGAACTTATCTGCTTGTGCCAACCAGGGACTCCTTTCTCAGCTGATATTAATATATCAGCTGGACAATTCCGTGTTGTAAGGGAAGGGAGCTTTCCTGTACATTGCTGGATATTTAGCAGATTCCTTGGTCTCTACCCATGAGGTGCCACAACCCCCAGCTGTGACACCCAAAAATGTCTGCAGACATTTCCAAATGTCCCTTCTTGGTTGTCAGTTATGTGCTGTGATTTTGCTTCTGATTTTAGCAAACTTGTATAGGGAGTTCTGGTGTGGTATTGTATAATAAGCACTGGACCACAAGGTTAGTTTGAACCATAAGGTTGACGATTCAAAGTCACCTTGGAAGCAAAGTTGCTATGAGTCAGAAGCAACTTGACAGTACTTTAAAACAACAACATAGGGTTTCTGAGGCTGTATTCTTTACAGGAGCATAAAGCCTCATCTTTCTCCTGCAGAGTGCCTGGTAGATTTGAACTGCTGACCTTGAGGTTATTACCATTCAGACTTCAACAGGGTTGAGGTAGGCAAGGTATGTTAACTAGAGTGGGTTGTGGAGATAGGCTGCCTGGATTTAAACTGAGACTCCTCTACCGACTTCCATGCGACCATGGACAAAATGGTCATCCTACTCTGCCTCAGTCTTCTGGGTGTGCCTGACACAGCCATGGCATTTTAATCACCTCAGATGCATGTAAAAGTTGGACAATTAATCACAGGGATTAACTGGTTTCTGCTTGACTGCTAACCCAATGATTGGTAGTTTGAACCCACCAGGAATACCATGGAAGAAAAGGACCGGAAAGCTGTTTCCACTAAGATTGGCTAGTGGTAGTGGTTATGTACTTTGGAGTTGGTTCCGACTAAAAGTGACCCTGTATAGGGTTTCTGAGGTAGCAAATCTTTATTGGAGCAGAAAGCCTCATCTGTCTCTTGAAGAGTACTTGGTGAACTTGAACTGCTGACCTTGCAGTTAGCAGCCCAATGTGTAACCCACTAAGCCACCAAGGTTCCTCATTAAGACTGTTGTTATTGTTAAGTGTTGTTGAGTCAGTTCCAACTCACAATGACTCTGTATAGGGTTGGTGAAGAGCAGTTGGTGGGTCTGAACTGCTGACTTTGTGATTCGCTGTCCAGTGCTGATCCTACAGCACCATGTCAGGAGTCCATGAAGATTACAGGCAAGTGAAACCTATAAAGAAGCTCTACTCTGTAACTTCTCCAATATGAGAACCCATGAGTCGGAATTGACTTGATGACAACTAACAACAAGATATTTGTGAGAATCAAGGGCACTAATAATTTTATAGCACACAAAACAGTGATGGATACGTTTTCAATGTTGTTGTTGTTGTTAAGTGCAGTAGAGTTGGCTCCGACCCAAGAGCGACCCTGTATAGGGTTTCTGGGGAGCAGCTGGTGAGCTTGAACCACCCACCTTGCCATTCAAACCAACTTTGCAGTCCAGCGCATTAACCCACAGCAACATGCCCCATCAAATCAGTTCTGACTCATGGCGCCCCTAAGTATGATAGAACATAATATTGCCTACACCATCCTCGGAGTCCTGGGATGGTGCTGTGGGTTAATGTGCCAGACTGCAAAGCCGTTTGAACTGCAAGGTCAGCGGTTCAAGCTCACCAGCTGCTCATTGGAAACCCAATACAGGGTCGCTATGGGTCAGAATCGACTCGAAGGCACTTGACAACAACAACAACACCATCCTCACATTCACTGCTGTGTTTGAGTTCACTCTTATAGTCATTGAATCAATATATCTCATTGAGGCTTCTCCTTCTTTCTCTGACCCTCTACTTTTCCAAATATGATGTCCTTCTGCAGGGACTGATCCCTCCTGATAGTACATCCAAAGTAAATGGAACAAACTCCCACCATCCTCATGTGTAAGGAGCATCTAACTGTACTTCTTCCAGGACAGACTTGTTTATTCCTCTGAAGTCCAAGGTATTAATATTCTTTGACAACACCATAATATTAGAGTTGTCAATGATTTCATTTTACTTTGATCCATAAACAGTGCCTATGAAAGCAGCAGTCAAAACCAACCAATTAGGTAAATATGCTGAAAAAAGACCTTTCAACAGTGTTAGAAGGAGTCCTGGTGTGGCGTTGTAGGTTAATGTGCTAGAATGCTGGGTTGCTTTGAATTGCTAGGTCAGCAGTTCAAGCTCACCAGTCTCTCCTTGGAAACCCTATACAGGGTCGCTGTGGGTCGGAACCAACTCAATGTCACTTAACAACAAATCACTCTGAGGCCTAAGTTGCACCTGACCCAAGCCATGATATTTTTATTCACCTCATATGCAAGCGAGAGTTGGTTAATGAATAAGGAAGACTGAAGAAGACATGATGCCTTTGAATGGTGTTGACAACATTTTCAACAATAAATATGCTAACATTTTATTATCTAAAAGACATGGTTTAGTCTGTGAAATATTTAAATCAGACAGGGAGCGCAGTGGCTCTGAGGATAAACACTGCACTGAAATTCACAAGGTCAGTGGTCTGAGTCTACCAGCAACTCTGCAGAAGAAAGATGAGGCTCTACTCCCTCAGAGATTTACATCCTTGGGAACCTTAAGCAGGGTCATATGAGTTGGAACCAATTCCATAGCACTTAACACTAACAACAGTAGCAAACAGAGTACACAACTTTGTTTAAAGAATCACAGCACTTATGAAAGTGGTTATGCAATTCTCCGTAATAGTGTATTTCTTGTTGTTGTTACTAAGTGCTGTCGAGTTGGTTTTTACTCACAGGGATGCTGCATAGGGTTTCTGAGGAACACTTGATGGGGTGAACTGCCAACCTTGCAGGTAGCAGTCCAGTGCTAATCTGAGAGGACACACCAGGACTCCACTGTATTTCTTAAGTGACCTAAAAATGTTATTCTCATAAAAAATAGTCTATAAAAGATGCTGAGGGGGATCTGGGCAACAATAATATTAATAAGACTAGGACACAACTTGGCACAGACCAAAGGGATTCATTTTCCTTTTATGATTTTCATTGTGTTGAAGCCAATCTCAGGACCACTAAAATAAACAAATGCTTTCATGATGAACAGTTTTCTGCTTAGGGAATGGCAGGCTAGTCTGTGAGTATCATTTTTAGCTTATTCCCATGAGTCATTAATTACAAAATGTACATCACATAACCTAAAACAAGGACACTTACACAGAAATGTAGTAATTTCTCCCCACCTTCGAGATCCCAAGGGACAGAATCACAGAGTTACAAGTACAAGGGAGTTCAGAAAGTTAGTAAAAAACATCTATTGACTTTTAATTCTATTTTAAACACAGACTTTTTGAAGGTCCCCCTAAAGACAAATTTAGCTCAATCCATTCTTTTTTAAGCAAGAGATAACTGAAACTCCATACTCCATACCCAAAACAAAACAAAAGGTTCATAAAACAAAATGAAAGAACGGAAGCCTGGAAAGGGGAAGTGATTTGTAAAGGGCTGCACACCTGCTGACAAGTAGAGGCAGGGCTTAGGAGGAGCTCCAAGGCACCATTCTTTCTATTGTCATTTTACCCTTGGCTGCATCCAAATGAAGGAAGTCTGGTGGCACTGGTTAAGCATTGAGCTGCTAGACACAAGATTAATGGTTCAAATCTACCAGTGGTTTCCTGGGAGAAAGCTGAGCCTGTCTGCTCCTATAAAGATGTGCAGTCTGAGAAACCCTGTATAGAGTCACTATGAGTTGATATTGACCTGATGGCAGTGGGTTCGGATTTCATCCAATGAAATTCCTGGGTGTTGTAAATGCTTGGCTGCTAACTAAATGTTTTCAAAGTTTCGGTCCTCATAGAGGCACCTGGAAGAAATCTACTTCAGAAAAAAAAATCAGCAGTATGGAGTATAGTTTGAGTCTGATGCACACTAGGTTGCCATGAATTGGCAACAACTCAATACCAACTGGTTTATCTTATCCAACTAAAGAAGTAAAAAGGGATGGTGAGGTCTTGCAAAGAGCTAAGAGGGAAGAGTTTAGGCCACTCACTTCCATTTGGAGTTGTTGTGTGCCATCGAGTTGATTCAGACCCATAGCAACCCTGTATGGGGTTTCCAAGGAGCAGCTAGTTAGCTTGAACTGCCGACCTTTTTAAATTTTCTGGAGGGATGTATTTTTCTCCATTGCAAGAGAGGAGTCATATTTGAGGCCACTAGCTTCCTGTGGTTTGGAGATCAACTGATAAAGACCTCCTGGTAAACCTGAAATGATCGTATCCTAGAATTGCATTGTCAAGTGTGGGTGGATTCAATTTATCAGAGGTCATTACTGATTTTATGTATATATATCATGTTCTCTCATTCTGTATTCTAGATCAAGTAAACCCACCAATGAACATCACCGCAGAGATTGATGGAGTTCATCTCTCTATCCAATGGGAGAAGCCAGTTTCTTTCTTTCCAATCCACTGCTTTCAGTATGAAGTTAAGATTCAGAGCACAAGGAATAATTATGTACAGGTAATTCCTCAGATTATATCGATGTTCAATGACAGTCTTTTTCTAAAACGAAAGTTATTATAGCTATAGATGCACAGCAAAATAGTTGCTGTTTCAAACATTTTTACACATACAGTCTAGCCACACTATCTATATTCCCCATGATGCACAACCATCACCCCTAAAATGATATGCATTATTTTAGAAGCATTTAAAAAAGTTACTTAAAAAATTTTTTAAAAATGCTTTAGAACTATTTTTTAAAAAAAATAACAATAGCTTAGCACTAATAAGATCAAATTAAGGAAATAAATCAAACATTTCTGGCCTTTTGTCTAGAGATGACCAATTTTGGGGTGAAATAATTTGAAGTACTCAGATAAAAACTCATTCACATTAATGGATGAAAAGTATAAGAGGAACGCAATTGAGAAGAGAGCCAACATTTATTGAATACCAACTACATATCAAGCCTTATTATATTAGTTGATTCCATCCATATATTAATTCTATTATTTAATTATCATTCCCATTTTACTGATCCAGAAAAGAGAGGAACAGGACTGGTAAGTAACTTTCTCAAAGTCACAAAGTTAGAAAAAAATTAGTAAAATCAGGATTCAAACTCAGGGCTCTTTGATTTCAACACTCATGTCTTACTGACTTGTGTTTTTTATTGTTGTTAAATGCTGTCGAGTCTGTTCCAACTCCTAGCGACCCTGGAGAGGTTTTCTGAGGAGTGACTGGTAAGCTTGAACCACCGACCTTGTGGTTTAAACTGACCTGGCAGTCCAGAGCATTAATCCGTGTAGGTAAAGCAAGTTCAATTCTATTCAGCAGGTATTTCAATGGATTGGCTATTTTGTCACCAGAGTTAGGAGAGCTAAAGAGAAGACATTGTGCCTACTAATGAGGGGCCCAGTTTAGGGGACATGCTCACCTGCCTCTGAGCTGCTTTCTTATAGTCAAGACTCATGGAAGCACAAATGAGAGGACAGGCAAAGTAACCTGTTGGGAGGCTCTACAGAGAAGAACTGTGTAGCATCTTCAAAGATGAATAGAAATCTGTCTGGTGAAAGAACAAGGGAAGGACATTCCCAGGCAGCACTTATCCATTTAATTATAGTGAAGGGCTGTGCTTTGTTTTAAATATCCAATCCATTATGGATTGCATTTTTATTAAATACAACAAAAATGATTTGTTAGAAAACCAAAATATACCTAAATACATACAAGATGATCATGTGCTTTAATGTTTTGGCAATGTCAAATTGCTAGAAGCAGTTCTAAATGGTAGTTTCAGTTTCTATATGTACTTCACCACAGACCCGTCATACACAATTCCTGACCTGTCCTGGTCCAACCTCCATACTATGAGAAGCAGAACATGGGTTCTAGGCTGTACACACCTCCTTCTCCCAGAGTGAATTTGTAAGATTTTGTCAGAAAAAGAAATGAGTTTCCTTCCAAAAAACCAGGGCCATAGGTATAAAAGCCACTGAAGGGTTTTAAGCACTTAGAAGAATGATTTTGGTAGCAGCGTAACATCCGAATGTGGGTGAGGAGAAGATGAGGATGTGGGGATACCATTTAATGGTTATTATAATCACTCTGTCTATGGCCATACCACCCTGAATGTGCCTCATCTTGGAAGCTAAGCAGGGTTGGGCCCATTTAGTACTTGGATGGGAGACCGCCTGGGAATACCATGTACTATTGGCACTTTCCAACTGCACACAGCTGCTGGCTTCACTCTTTGGAGTCCTGATATGGCACTGTGGGTTAATGAGCTGGATTGCAAAGTTGGTTTGAACCATAAGGTTGGCAGTTCAAGCTCACCAGTCAGTCCTTGGAAACCCTATCCAGGTTCACTATGAGTCAGAACCAACTCAATGGCACTTAACAACAACAATAATCTCTCAAGCAAAAGATGACAAGAATCAAAATTGGCAATGGTCCGAGCATGGGATGAGGAAGGGAGCTATGCCCAGACAGTATATAAGATCAAGGTGCCAACATCCATTGTTTAGGATACAAGGTGTTAGCTGGATGTAGGTACTTCTGGTCAACAGAGGGAATACAGGAGCAAGTCCTATTTGTGAGAAAATATTCTCGGTTCAATGCTGGACAACATTAGCCTAAGTTGTCTTTGGCCAGCTAGCACTGACCACACATGGTCATGGTGAACCATCCCAAATTGCTGTTTTTGTTTTTTAAAATCACTTAAATTCTTTATTCCATATGCTCTTTTCAACAATCTGGAAATTTAAATTTAGTATAAATTAATAACTCTTTTATGGTTTAAAAACATGAACTGTTGAGTGAAAGTTACGAATTATAATCAAATTGTATAATGAAGTTACTTTAAAAAATGAGAGTTAAGAATAGTTATGCTAAATTTCTAAAGCAAATATAAAACAAGAATGGAGGCTATTGTTGATGCTAATAATCAAAATGAGTTTTGCTCAATTCTGAAATCTCACTCCCTCCTAAAACGAAAGAAAGTATTCATTATAATTTGGAAGTACAGAACTCTTAACAAAAACCAACTAGATATAGAGTTGAATAATTCTTCTTATAGGTACAAGTTAGTTTTCAGCAACCTATAAGCCATTGAAAATGTGGTTCCACATCCAGCAAAAAAAGGCAAACCTCGATTTAGCTGAGGAAGGGGTGTCAAATATGCAATTGTGTGGTAGATCCGTGCCCCAACAAAGGGTCTGAAGTGCAGGAGAGCTGTCGAGAGATTGGGATCACTCAAGGAATACAGAAATCCAATGTCAATAAATGGTACAATGTTTTCAAGGTCATTCAGGTGGGCTGTTTGTACATGTTCCACTTTGTCATCTGTCTGAAGATACGTCTTAGCATTTTCTCCTTTGCCATACTGTTCACAGTCTTCTGGGTTTGCAAAAACCTTTCTTATCAATCTACAGAATGCAGCTGCCATACTCTGAAACAATAAGGATTGTTGGATAGGAGGCAAAGGCCATGAATACTTCATTCTTGGCTAGTTGGATGAGGTTAGTCATATTTTCAATTTTGGTCTGGAATCTTCAAAAAAAAATTTAGATAAAATGGGGCAAATTATGAGTCTGAAGAGGAGAAAGGCAGCAACCAGTCAAATTGCTGTTTTTGCACATCAAATTTTGAATACTGGTAATTTTCCATAGGTTTCAACTTAATGTATCTTTAAGTTTGGGATTTGCAAAGGTAATTCCATTTAACTCAACAATCCAAGGGTTAGATATTGTTATATAATTTGACAAATGGGAAAACTGAGGCTCAGGGAGGTCAAGGAATTCGTCATACAGTTAGCTGGAAGCTGAACTAGGATTCCAGTCCTACCCTACCTAGATTCAAAAACTGCTCTTTCCATTTCTCATGCTGCATCCAATTCTGGTTGTCCAAGACATCTCTTTTAAGGAGTGTCAGCTAATGCTTTTGGGCAATGGACCAGACAGGAAATCATTCAGGCTTTGTAGGTCAGATGGTTTATGCCGTAGCTGCTCAAGCCTGCCATTGTAGAAGGAAAGCAGTCATAGACGATATATAATAAAAAGAGTGTGGCTCAGTTCCAATAAAACTTTACTGGGGACACAGAAATGTGAATTCTATGTCATTTTCATGTGTCAGGAAAAATGACTCCTCTTTTGATTTTGTTCCAATGATTTAAAAATGTGAAAACCATTCTTGGCATGCTGACCCTTACAGAAACCAACAGCAGGCAAAATCTGGCCTGCAGACTGTGGTTTGCAACTCACTTCAGTAATATGATTAGAAAAGATAGTGGGAAGAGGCGAAGAAGCTAATACATTCTGCTAACTGCCACACCAGTGTTCCAATCTGGAACCATCCGTTACACACAGGAGAACCATCTGTATCTTACAACTGACCAGTGTATCCATTTTGGTCACTGTGAATAGTTTTTCCCTGAAGGATGACTGTCACGGAAACAGTCTAGAGTAAACTGATCAATATATGTCCTATTGGTTTTATATTAGTCATTCAATAGTGAATCACATTACCTATATAAAAAGCAAAAAGCAAATCCACTTCCATGGAAGCAATTCTGACTCATAGTGAACTTACATGTCACAGAGTGGAACGGCTTCATAATGAAAATGAGTAGTATCGCTATGTTTTTGTTGCTGGTAAGTGTTGGCTCTCAGAGCCAGCCTTAATAGGATTAATGAGGACTGCCCTGGTGGGTTTGAATCACTGACCTTGCAGTTAGCAGTCCAGTGTTTATCCTACAGTACCACACATATTCTGGTGGTTGGCATGACAAATTCTATGTTTACATGTTCTTATGCTGCTAATTCCCCCCCCCCCCCATTTAGATAGAAAAAACGACAACCAATGCGTTCACCTCAGTAATTGACGCTATTTCTAAGTACTCCGTTCAAGTGAGAGCAACAGTGGAATCTGTGTGCAGGGCCGAGGGACGCTGGAGTGAATGGACTCAACCTATTTATGTGGGTGAGTATTTCCAGACTGCTGTTGAGTTGGTTCTGACTCATGGTGACTCTCTGTGTTACAGTGTACAGTCTCTCCACAGGGTTTCCCTGGTGATGCTCTGTGTTATAGAGTACAGTCTCTCCACAGGGTTTCCATGGTGACTCTCTGTGTTACAGTGTACAGTCTCTCCACAGGGTTTCCGTGGTGATGCTCTGTGTTATAGAGTACAGTCTCTCCACAGGGTTTCCATGGTGACTCTCTGCCTTAGAGTACAATTTCTCCACAGGGTTTCCATGGTGACTCTCTGTGTTACAGTGTACAGTCTCTCCACAGGGTTTCCATGGTGACTCTCTGTGTTACACAGTACAGTTTTTCCACAGGGTTTCCTTGCTCCTAATCTTAATGGAAGCACATTGCCATGCCTTTCTTCCAAGGCTCAACTTGGAGGATTGTAACCATCAGCCCTATAGGTAAATGTTGTTGTTAAGCGCTCTCGAGTTGGCTCTGACTCAGCGGCCCTGTATAGGGTTTCCAAGGAGCAGCTGGTGGATTTGAATGGCTGATCTTGTGGTTAGCAGTCCAGTGCTGATTCTATAGTGCCACACCAAAAGTCCTATAGCTCAATTGTTGTTAAGTGCTGTCAAGTCGATTCTGGCCCATAGTGACCCTGTATAGGGTTTCTGAGGAGCAGCTGGTGAGCTTGAACCAGTGACCTTGCAGTTCAAATGGCTTTGCAGTCTGACTCATTAACCCACTGCGCCACACCAGGATTCTGTATAGCTTAATGGTGGTGTGTTGTAAAGTCAGTTCTGACTCATAGCAACCCTGTACAGGGTTTCCAAGGCTGTAAATCTTTACAGGAGCAGAAAGCCTCATCTTTTTTCCATGGAACAGCTGGTAGTTTCAAACTTTGAGTGCAAATTGTTCAAACCATCTAGGGACAAGCTACCTAAATGATGGTTAAGCTAGATGAACGTGGGAAGAATGCACATTCAATCATAGGTCTCAAAATAGTTTCACATCTTGCTATTCCTCATCTTCTGCAAATAACTTGCACATTAACGTGTTTTATGCAAACCACACACCCTGCCTTGCACATTATTCTTCATTGCATGCTTTGTGTGTTATACATGTGTGCATACTCTTGATAGAGATACTGTTACCCTGAATACAATGAGGTTCAGTGAACAAATGTCTCACTCACATAACCCCTTCCAAGACTCTGTACCCAATTTAATTTCCCAACTAGTCGGTTTCTAATTTTATCCAACTTTTAAGAAGTTGTTTTTGTTTTCATGGAAGGTAACTATAGCATTACAAGCTGTTGTAAGCAATGATATACAGAGCTCTTGGACACCCTTTTACTGTTTCCCCAAGAATAACATCTTGTAAGAGTATAGTACAAAAACTTTGATATTCTACAATCCACTAGTTTTAATCAGATTTCATCAGTTGAACATGTACTGATTTGGGTGTGTGCATATCTATTTAGTTTTAAACTCTTTTATCACATATCAAGTTTCCTGTATTAACCACCCCTTGAAGATGCAGAACAGCTCCATCTCCACAAAGATTCCTGTATTGCACTTTCCTAACCCCATCTACCACCCTCTCCCTCCCTCCCCATCTGTCCCTAAACTTTGGCAATCACTAATCTAGTGTACATCTCTTTCATTTCCCCCTACCTAATTATAGATTCCCATTTATGTTTTTCTGTTCTAAAAGAAGATCTTGAAATAGTTTCATGACCCACGAAACCTAGGTTCACCCGGGGACCTTCATATAGCTAAGATTTCGTATTCAATGCACATGTACAAAACAACTAGGTGTTGCCTGGGCTTCCTGTATTGGATCTGAGACCGTTTTAATTATGACTAAATTGATTAATAGTTTAATTGTCAAGTAAGGTAATTATCCATCAGTGGGAATGGTAAAGGACAATAAGATACTCAATAGCGGCTCTAACGAAAGGGTTTTTGGACCTCACTTTGGGCCCCATCATGGTTCATTCCCTGGCCTTGTGATCAGACTTTGCAATTGGAGACAGAATATTTACATCCTGTGTTTTCTGATATATGGGTATCTCAGGCAAAAGAACAGGCACATTTTATGAGAGAAACACCATTTAAAAAACAAAGAATGTGTCTTGTGTATATGCTATCCCCATGCAGCCTGGGGATACTGACAAATATGGTTAGGGTTGCATTAGGTCTTCATGAGCATGGGCGGTAAAAGGAATACGGGAGTTGACAGAAAACTCAGATTTAATACCAGCGTTGTTATATATAGAAATCCCGGCATAGTGTAAATGGCTCATGGACTCAGCTGCTAATGGAAAAGTCAAAGGTTTGAGTCTACCCAGAAGTTCCTCCAAAGGGGTGTCCAATGACCATCTGAGAGACTTCTTTTCATCATGTGTGAAGATTTTCTATCATAATGCATTCACGTAGGCTAAGGAGTATGTCTTCAGATCTGATCTGACATATAACATAACAGGTCGATTTTCCATGGAAGACTAGAAACAGATAACTATTCTGACCAGCAAGAGGGTTGGTCATGCTGAGTTGCTGAATATTGAGAGAGGAAGGGTACCTCTAGAGTTGGACAATACACAGCAGCACAGTCTTAGGGGTTGTCCCTAACAACACTATATGGTGCCTCAGAGGAGGAGCATGAACGAAACAAGGAACTAAGCATAGACCAACTTTACCTACTTCAAAATTCTACCTCCTCCCCTCCTCTTAGGTTGATGCCTCACCTAAACACACAGGATCTCCTCAACAACATTCATCTGTATGAGTAAAATACACTCTCCCCATTGACAGGGAACCCTAGAGGAGATTAATCAGTCTCAGAACATTTTTAATAGGGTGATTCATTTTGTCAAATCCCTTTAGCAGAAGCTTAACTTTTATTGCTCACGTTCAGTGAATTTTGTTTTTAAATACTTCATGTTAATTTTCCGAAGGGCTTAAGTCTTGTTGGTGACAAAGTATTGATATTTCAAGTATCTTCCCAAGTTACTAAATAGACAAACAGCCTCCATGATTTGTTAATGCTGTCCAAGTTACCACAGACTAACTAGAAACCATGGTCAGATTTTTGGCTAAGAATCCATTTCTGCTTGCAAGTGTTTGAGTTTTGAACTGATATTCAGTGTTGGTTGTAGAGTTTACAGCTTGAAAGAGGAGAAGAAACATGATCTAGGATTGAGCAATGGCTCTGTCAGTGCCCAAGTCTATGACCTAAGTTGTTGCCGTTAGTTAATGTCAAGTGGGATCCTATTCATGGTGATCTTATGTATAACACAGCAACACTTTGCCTGGTTGTGTGCCATCTGCATGATTATTGGTTGGTTTGAACCCATTAATGTGACTATCATGGCAGTCCATGTCATTGAGGTGTTCTTCTAGTTTATTGACCCTCTATTTGACAAAACATGATACCCTGTTTTAATAGATGGTCTTGACAACTCTAGATACATCTGTCCAACCCACCAGTGGCTCCTTGGCAACCTTATACAGGGTTGCTATAAGTCGAAACCAACCCTACAGCACTTGACAACAACAACATATCAAAGAATATTCTATTTGATCTATAGGCTTCCTCGGCTAATTTTTGAAAAAAGATCACCTTTGTTTCTAGTCTAAGTCTGGAAGCTCTGCTGAAATGTGTCCCGTGAAATATCCGTGGCAGAGCCCCCCAAAACCCAGCAACACACAAGCTTCTACAGTGTGACAGATGGGTGGTGGGTCACCTAAAATACAGATGGCAAAATACAGCAGTTCATGAGCCAAGTTTGAAGGACTTAAAAACTTTTGTGGACTAGCGGAATTAGCAGATAATGGTATGTTTCCACAAACCTTTTGAAGTTCCCTTGAAGATGCTCAGAGCGCTGTGTTGTAAAGGATTTTCAGGCTATGTTTGGGTTGTCAGGAGCTCTGGTTGCGTAGTGGCTACAAATCAGGCTGCAAACCACAAGGTCAGCAGTTCGAAACTACTAGCTGTTCTTCGGAAGAAAGATAAGGCTTTCTACTTCCATAAAGACTTACAGCCTTGGAAACTCTATGCAGGGTTGCTATGAGTCTGAACCGATTCCATGGCACACTACCACCATTTGGATTTTCAGAAAGATTGATCGGCAACACCTGCCACTGTTGCAGGGAGATAGTTGCGATGAGTAAGTCAGGGCTTGGTCACCCTGACCTAGTCTGTCACACCTGACCTCTCTGGGTCTCAGTTTCCTCTTTTGTAAATTATGAATGCCTTCCTTTCAGCTCCACCAATCATGTGAGATCGTGATCTGGAATGAGAGTTTATTCTGAGCTTGTTTGTAATTTATCTTTCACTCTCCACTGTGGAGTTCTCCTACATTATTATTTCCTAAACAACTGCTTCCTAGTTTGGGTTTGAGCACATTAGAGTTTTCCCCCAGGTGTACCTCAGTGCCATTATCTATGGCAAATCCCATTTCATTTACTGCCACCTTTTTCATGAAGATGAGCTGATTAATATTACTGCTCACCTTATAAAACCATTGTTACTGGAATTTACTCCCCTGCACGGTTTAGAATCATTAGTGAATTTAATCAATGCAGACTTCCCATTTTCATCAAGATGATTAATAAACATAATTGGAAGTCCAGGTTCTTCTGGGACACCTCACTTGGTTCTTCCTTACCCCTGGAGGAGGCGGCAATAATTACGCTTAGCTTTAAGGTCCTCAGGCACTTTTGCTACAACACTCATTTCCTTTAGACAGTCTTCCTCCTCTCTTACCTTGTCTTATAAATGGCAACCAGCGGTCATTTTTACTTGGAGGCCCAACTGAAATACTACCACTTTTTTAGCTATTATTAAGTCCACCTCCTTTAGTTTAATTTAAGGAAATAAAAGCCCAGATAGGCTTTTTGCTGTTAAGTGCCGCTGAGTTGGTCCTAACTCATATCGACCCTGTATAGAGTTTTGGAGGGGTGGCTGGTGAGCTTGAACCACTGACTATGCAGTTCAAACTGACCTTG